TATTTCTATATAATATTATAACAATATAACACTTAGGTAGTTAAGTACAGATACTCTATGATACAAGTTACATATTTTGAGAACTTCGAATAATTACCACTTTTCCGTCTTTGTAGTGTTATATAATATATATTAATATATTAATATATATTTTTTCGAATGCATACAAATACAAAATTAGAGGATCGTCTATAATTGTGTTCGATATTATACAATTATATCACGAAACCTGGTACCACAGACCACTAACGCTTCTTATCTACAGAAATTACCGATGTCTGCAATACGTTAGTGTTTTTAGTTTTTACTACATATTTGGGCTTTGCCGGGCGAAAATGCCGTCGATGTTCAGTGAACAACAACAGATCAGAACCGTTTCAAAATGCACATTATTCACCACCCGCCGCTGTTATCGTGTATTTATCGGCGGTTTACAACAATTCAAATAGGGTGGAAATATTGTATTTTTAAAGTTTAATTGTAAACGCTCACAATAGAAAACAGGTGACAAAAAAAGAGAAAAAAATTTGAGTGTTCAATAAACGTTTCAACGACAATGATGGCGCAATGATAAAATATGAGTTTCGTCGTACCGTTATTCCTAAAAAATTGATCTTTTAATTCACAGTATAGAATAAATGCAAGTCTATTCTAATATTATTATAATAATTATTAATTATACAGTTGTCTACTATAATATTTAATTTAACTTAGATATCTTTCAAAGGTTTAATATGAGATCATAGGCAGGAATATCGGGGTGGACTGCAGAGTGCATGGCTAACCCCTTAACCACGTAGAGGTAGAGCCCCCCCAAATCCCAAACACTATTTTCACCTATGGATGAGATGTAATTTCGAATGATGAGGTATATGCACTTAAAAACTTGACAGATGGTTTGCGATAACTGATAAATAACTATTAATAACTATTACTCATATAATTAAATAAACACGAAATATGGTATAGCTGTATAAAAATATTCGTTCTTATGATTTGGCCCATGGTAATATTTTATTTTGAATTATGCACGTCAACGAATATTATGGGTATTAAACTATCGATATATTTTAATGTGCATTTGATGCCTAAACCCTAAATTAAACAAAACTATCGTAAATTAATTATATATTGTCATGGGCTTCTGGACTTTTTTTAACACTTTATATTGGCCCGTCGACCATTTAAATTAATTTGAGAAAAATATTATTATCACATGTCCAAGCTGAAGTATAGAATTATATTATAAAAAATAAACTGCAACAATTGGTTAAATCAAAATTGTTCCTACCTGAATCATTTTTTACGTTTTTTTTATTAAATTGTCACCTTCTTGAGTATAGTGTCTAGTGAATTTAATGAATTTGGTTAAATTTCTAAAGGACTTTAGGTAAGTATATCGTATGTCATATAGATGTTTAATTTATGTACCTATAGTATAAATTATAATATTCCATTTGAAACTATAGATCCGATTCTCAAATGAAAAAAAATCAAAGAACCTCGGAAAAATACGTAATATACTATTATACAAATATATGATTATATATCTATATATCTATATCGTGTACATAAAAATATTAACATCGATATTTCATCTATATTATGTAGTCATTAGATATAATTTGATAGTCTAAGCACGAAGGGGACTCAGATGCAGTTGTAGTTATATTTTATAGCAATATTTATAAACACACATATATAAATCTAGAATATAAAATGACCAGATAGCAAAGACTGAGAAATTTGGGCAAAACGTATAATGTTATCTCATCCGTACATCGAAAATACAATGGTTTGTTTTTCTGATGTTTTACAGCATTAAAAATTTACCCATCAATTATTGTTAGCAACAACCCACTGTTGTGTAGATATAGGTTCCGCTGTACTAGCCATTCATTCAAGGTTGAATCGTTACGGGTAAATCGTGCGGACGATAAAGATCGGTTCTGGACATAATGGGTCAATACCGTCCATCATTCCATGGCTACTAGTCGCATATAAAGAAACAAATGATAAATTAGTAAAAACAAAACAACTGTTTTTCAGTTATTAATTTCCAGCTGAGTAAACATTATAAGTGTTTTGGAAAACCAAATTTGAATATGCCATCTGAATGGTTAAAAAATGTTGATTGTGTGCGATATGCAATTTAAATTCTACTCCCTGTACACAATGTTCAAACCTAATACGGAACGTGTACGGAATATAAAAACCTAAATTTAACGTCATGGAATACTGTGACTATATTATACTATGATTGTTTGGGATAATGGGATATATGATAATTATAATACTCATTGTATCCTAATCAGTAATCATAGGTATATAGACTAGGTATAGGTATTATAATATAGCACTATACCTATAGCTGTGCTCATCTAGTGTACCTACCTAGTGTGTTTGTTTGTTTACGTACACATACAGTTTTTGAAGAAGGACATATTAGTAAATCTCGGGCAATGCCACAAGTGTGGTAATTAGGAAGAGCTTAAAATTTGACACCCCTTTCACGACACGAGTATAATATAAATATGTAGCTCTAACTATAATTTTGTCTGAAGATTTTTGGGCCGTTATTTTTTTTTCAGAGTATAATAATTGCATGTACCTTGAACAACTGATAATCGAAATGATCAATATCCAGAATCGTTATAATATTAATGGAATAGAAGATTTTAAAAATGATGATATTATTAGGTAACTAGATTTTTCAATCTAATTAAGCAATAACAAGTTAATCAGGCAATTATAGTAAAAAGAGTTTTCCTTCCATACGGATTATATACAAAAACATCCAGCCTTTAAGAATTAAAAATATAAGTTGTTTAAATATTGAAAAATAATATTGGTAATAAAAGAAAGAGACACAAATATTCATTATCAGAAACTGTAGCATATATGTGATAATAGTACCTCGTACCTAGTTGTATAAGCTGTTAAAAATAAAATAAGAATAAGAACATTAGTCAAGATATAGCCACTTATTATATTATTATATTCTTACTCTATGAGATATAGCCACTTATTCACTTAAAATTCCATCAAAATATTAAAAAATAAATGTACATTTAATTAGTTTTATATAATATTTTAAATAATTTACCACGGCAACCTATCAAAAAACCTCGATAAATTTAAATCCTCGATGTGCATAAAAACAATTCCCTTCAAACTTTCTTCATATTATATTTTTAAAATGGTCGATGATTTGTATTTTACAGCCAGCTGTATTATTAAATTAGAATGAACTAGAATAGCTGAGCGTAATGTAAAATCTTTTCCAACAAAATGTAATTTCTAGTTGCACCTATATATAATATGGTACTGACTATGGCTATACATTTCGTCGGTGCTTAAAAAATATGACCATCTTTCCATATACAGAACGTTATAACAAAAAATAAAAGTAACATTCACTTAAGACCAGTTAACATTGTAACCTACAAAAGATAAAATTGTTGATAGGTACTACCCTACTATTATTGACTTATACAACATGTTCCTGGTTGTTTAATTTTTTTTACTTTCTTAAACAGTAAACACATACCTATATTATGATTTATGTATCAAGAATATAATATTGCAATATTGACTGAAATATAAATGTTCTTAATATTACAAAGAGTTCAAGTACTTTTTTATTTTAAATTCGAACGATGTTGACATATAATCTTTATTTTAATTAATTAAATATTTTATAAATTTTGTTTTATTATTGACTTATCATTATTTAATGAATAGGTACTTATTGTTCTTAGTATATTAATTTACACAATACAAATTAGTTATTAGTGATTACTGATTACTAAATATACACGCCTTACGCATTTCGGATTAACAACAAAATTAATCTAGCACCGTGTCAAAAATATATTTGAAAGAAAAGGAAAAGTTTAAATCTTAGATAAGGTACTTGAAAACGCATTTATGATTTATAAATTATAATCAAACGGTCATAAACTCGTAACAATTAAGATTCGGGTTTATTAAATCACTGTTACCGTGAGAGTTCAGTGGCAATTTTGACATTGTTTCTTTGAGGTTCGCCCGAAATTAAATGTTTTTAATTTGTATTATTGTTTCAGATAAAAAGTTAATACAGTTATTAAAGTCGGGATAACTTCGATTTCACAATTATATCATAGGTAGTCCTTGGGAGTTTGATAAGAATAAACGGAAATAGTATTTTTAATAGTGCTACTGTGCTCCGAACAACTGTCTTGTGGTTTTTTATTTTTTTAATGTGTCATTATATTGTAGCATGTTAATATAAAAGTTTAATAATACATTTTCAATTATAATATGAGTTAAAGTTAAAATGAGCCAAACAAATACAAATGTCGAATAGTAGAAAGAGTAATTTTTTTAATAAATCTAAAACCTTAAAATCTGCTTGAGGCATTTCGACAAATGAAAATGCGATTTTTGTAATGGAAAGCCGTAAGCACTTACAGGTGACAACAAACAGAGATTATAGAAGAACATTTTTTAAGAAATTCGTGGGTAACCAAAAAACAATATTATGTACTTTTACAACGTTAATTATTTCCAGTTCTGTAGCGGGCCTCGAGAGTATACACTGTACCAATACATTTAAGTATAGTTAAGCAATTTTTTGTTTTGTAAGGTTTTTCGGTATCACATACCTTATAGAGATAAAATAGTACGTCACATATCATAATTTAAATTCATTATGGTTATTTAAATAAAAATATATAATAGTGTATGTACGTGCAAAACGACCAAAATAAAGTATTGTTAAACAATAAATTATGAATGATTTCATGTGCCACCGATTAATTCGTAATTATTTTCATGCCCTAAATATTGCACTTATTAGTTATTTTAGTAATTTTTCTATTAAATTAACAACACACTAGTTTGTGTATCGGTGTCGGTACGTGATGAATATTGTAAGATTTCATGTCGTCGGTCGCCCCCCTAGCCGGTACTAAAAAATACAGTTGGATTATCCGCAATCCCCGCATATAATAGTATTATCCTGCAGCGCTTTTTTTTTTTTTTTGTTGTTTGTTATTCGAACACGAACCGAATGTTTTGGCGAAAACTGACCTGCAGCAGTGATCAGCGACCCGTGCCTTGTCGGCAGGGGCCACCAGGCGTCTTGACTGTGCCACATGCCGGCAAATTTTTCTGAAAAACGTCCGATAACCGTACGACTTCGCGACGGCGACTGCTGCTGGACATGACGGAAGACCGTGCTGGAACGTTGTCGGCAAAACACTGCTGATCGCCGGCGGCGGTGGCCTGACAACAACGACCTGCCGGGACGCCGCGCCGCCGCCGCCGCCGCCGCTACTTTCGCCGGGCGGCGGACAGCTGTTGCCTCTTCGTTGGCCGAAAACATATGACGGAGCAACCCCAACAGCTGATCGCATCGAACCGCGACTCTCGTATTATTATACACGTAAATTCCTTTGTCTCCGGTATCTACGAGCGCCGATTTTTCTGTTATTTTTTTTGTTTTTACACCGTCGTTTTTACAACCCAGGTTTCCACTGTTTGAAAAAAAAAAGTATCCTCGAGTTCGATATGTGTCGTGTACGGGGGTACAGGACGTATACATCCACTTACAGCACTGAACAAGCTCGGCGAAGAAAAGCGACTCTTCCGCTGTCGTTCTCGTAGATTTTGTACTTTTGTCTTTAATTGTTCTCAATGACAACTCATTTTATCTTAAATTGCATACTCAATACTCTGAACAGTGATTTTAAAGTGTTGCCAATGTTGATGAAGGAGAGTGGTGTGGCGAGCATAATGTCATACAAACCTTAAACCAACTCTGTGTGAACATTGAATTCTTATGCCTAAATAATAAACTTTTGATTGAAACACTAAAAATGACAAATAATCATATGATAATGATGTAAAAAATATCAGTGGCCAGCTAAAAGGGTAAAAAGCTGTAATGCTCAACAATTATCAATTGCACAGATGACTGATGAGACATAGTCAAAATATTAGGTTCATTACAAATATATGTCTTTATACTTTGTACTTACCTAAAATTATGAATTATTTTATTTTCAATACATCAAAAAATGTTTCAAAAAGTCTGAAAAATTATATTTTTTAAACACCTAGTATAATTAATTATCTTTTTAAATAATATGTTGCATCTATAATTATTAATTACACATATTAAAATATACAAATCATATTTGACATTTAAAAAAGTTCGAAAATCGCTTATATATTTTGGTTGCGATAGTGAAACATGTGAAAATGCAAATGTTTTTTATTATAATACTAGCTGATCCCGTGCACTTCGTTTCCCGTTAAATGTACCAACTCTATATGACTCAAACTTTGTTCAATTCGTTATTTAATATTCGGCGTATGGTGTTCAAAATTTATCTTAACTTTTCTGTTGCCAGGAATAAAAATTCTGATTCGCAGCAGTATATTATCAGGTAGGCAGTCTATAGACCGGGGACCCCGTGCTGTTTGTAAGTAACTTTATAATTTAACTCTAAAGTATCATAGTTATACCAAGTATGTCACTGAACTCTTCCTAAACGGCTGGACTAATTGTAAATGCCGAGTCTGTCGACCAATATTTCCTCCTCATCCACGAAGACATGGCATTGTTTTATGTACATAACTTTACTTATATGTGAGTATATAATAAGCTCAATATTTACGTAATTGCTATACGCATATAATATCAAAACACAGCGTATAAAAAATTAAATGCATTGCACTTGCAATTTCACGGCAACCAATAATTATTATTATAATAGCTTTAAAACCCATGGCAACCATTTATAAACAAAAATTTCCACCGTAAATCTCTTAATCCCCGTTTGAGAACATCCCCTGGTGGGACCTAGGGGGATGATTTGTGAATCTAAAGTTTCTATTCTAAACCATCCGGAGCGGCACCCAAACGCATACGAAAAAATTCATTCAAATCGGTCCAACCGTTTAGGAAGAGTTCAGTCACAACACACGTACAGTAGAATTATATTTATAAAGATGATAATTCCATACCTACCTTTGAAATATTATAAATGTTGTATATTAAGTACAATACATTTTTAATTTATCGAAGAGTAAATACTGGTACAGAATTAAAATATATATTTTATTTTAATGGCATTTTACATGATTTATGTATAAGTATTTAGTATGTAAGTACCAAACCTATTTATTAACAATTTTGTAATGAATTATATTTGAACTGACCTTTAGAATTATCGATATTTTTTCTCAATTGATTTCAAATTGCTAAGGCTATTAAAATATTTTAAAAACAGTTTTTATAAATAATTATATTTAGGTATGTACTTATATTCTATAGGTACCTAATGATGTTAATTTTCATAAGCTTTTTTTGTTGTGTACAATTTTATAATTTCTCTTATTAATTTCCTATAAAATACCTAAATCCCTTGATAATATTTAGAAATAGTACCTATATGCATATTACATAATTAATAATTATATTTAAAACTGACGACTGTGTACTTGTATTGACATTTACCCATATTAATATTATCCTATTAAACATAATATAGGATATCCAAAATCCAAATAAATTTATCTTTGTAATAAATGTGCATTTTTATCTATTACTAAAAAATTTGTATTTTTACTGCTTCAGTTTAAATGTTTTCTTACATTTATTGATTTTTCCATTTTCGTTATTTATTGTTTGAGTTATTTCCACAAATCACAATTTTACACTAGCTACTTTTTATGAGTAGGTACCCAGTTATTAGTTATTACAAATTAACAATTGCACCTAGTTTTATATTTAAACTGAAGACCGTAAGTCAGAACTATTTATAATTGATAAATATATAATTTATATCAATATATATTTTAATTGTAGTTCATATTCAGTCGTTTAATTCCTAATTAAATAATTTATATATAATAATAAAACATATAACTAACATAGCAACGTTAAAACCTAAAAATTAATTACCTATGTTAAGAAAAATACATAAAAAATCAAATTTTCATAGTATTTCAATGAATAATAAAATATTCCTGTTGAAAATGATCAAGCTTACATCTGTAAACCTCTACCCGGCTTTACCTACTGGTTTTTCTATTTTGTACGACTTTGTCACAACAGTTTTTTTTTATCTCTTTGCCCATAACAAAGAACGGTTTTCATGTTACTCATCGTACGAATCGATTATGGAACTTACTACGTCAATTTGGCCATGTCACATTAGTCTTATATCATCTGCAGTCTGCACTCTTTGAAGTACACTTGCACTAGTATATATCCAAATGAAAAGCGGATGTAGCCGTTTCAGGCTATTCCTATAGATAATATTGTGGAATGTCAAAGTGTATTGTGTAATCTGAGCAGCTAAATTATCCTGAACCAATTATCCTAGATATCCAAATATGTATTTTAATCAAAGTTTAAATAGAATACAAATTTTGGAATTATGGGATCATCGGAATTAACGAATTTCTTGAAATATTCTCTGAAATTGGTCGGAGGTATAAATTGAGATGGTGATACATGCTATACTACATTTATATCCCTGGTCTTTACATAATATTTTGTTATACTATTAGTATTTATTTTATTGGTTAGGTCTCTTAATCCTAAACATTCCCGATTCCTACCAAAGTAGATTTTCCAATCAAATTAGAATGTTCGACATAATCATATCCACGTACTACGAAATTTATAGTATGAACCTATAGTAAAATGTATACGTGTGAGAGCAGTGTATAAAATTAAAAATAAAAAAAAACTCATAAGCAGATTACTGTGAAAGAGAATTTTTATCTACAGCTAATGTAATCAACATATATTTTCAAGATCCCTTTAAGTAACCTACAATAAAGTATATTATAATAGTACAAAAGCATGAATGAAAAAATATCTTCTTATAAATGAGAATGAAGTATTCAAATAACTCCTATATAGCCCTGTTCATAAATTTGATGTTTTTAATTACTGACTAATATCAATTATGATTTATGAGTCACATTGGAAAGATCTTTGGATCTATCTTTATGAGTAGAAGACAGTGATTGAGGATTAATGGTGAAGAATAATATTACTTACACTTTCCTCCAAGAGTTCCTCAAATGGGTCACTTGTCACCATTTCTATTTGCTATCTATTCATAAATGGGCTTCTAGAAGTTTTAAAGTTATTATTATAACTTATTATAGCTGATGATATTAAGATTTTTCTTAAAACAAGTTATATTGATGATTGTATTCATCTCCAGATAATTGACATAAATTCAACGTCTCCAAATTATGATTCCTTTGAATATCTCAAAATGTAATATATTATTTGGAGAAGCTAGTAATATCTCTTTGGGGTGCCATGTGTCATGTGGTCACTGGATTGCGTATGTATAGGCAATTTTATAATGTAAAATTATGTTGTTTGTTGAACCCTTTATTGTAATCAATTACGATTTTGAAAAACGGCAAAAATATTGACATATTTTTCGAATTGATCTTGTTAAGTCAGGGGGTGGACTTCCACGCGTGCATTTATATTTTACATGTTGAATTTGTTTACTTCAATTGGTATTTAAAAATGAAAAAATATGTTTTAACTTTTTACTGTATTAGAATGGTTTAAAATTGCTTATGTTCATTTTTAAAGCCTCAACTTAGGTGTGCAAATAATTTTTGTTAATTTCTGATTATTGTGTCTTATATAATTTATGGGTTTGAACCACTGTAAACCTAATAGGTTTCTTTTTATAGACTTGGATTATGGATTATATCTCGGGGTCATTATAATTTAATATATTTTAAATCATGGTAATATTTGCGTTACAATGATAATATATAGCTTAAAAGTTATAACATTGAATATTATTATGACTTAAAGCATTTTTATTTAGGTAACAGCTAATAAATAATGATAGCAATGTTATTAATATATAATAATATTACAAAGGACAATAAAATATATTTTATATTTTCATGTATAAAAAGAGTAAATGAAATATTTTAAAATGATAATTCACAGTATTAAAACTTGTTATCGTCATTGGATAGTCTTTAAATTAACCATTATTGTCAGTGTATAAAAATATTATCACCTGACGGCTGACGTCTCATTATTTTATTATTGTTAGATTTTACTCGGGCATAAAACAACTGTCTTTTTCTCGTGTTTACTTTATTGTTATTTTTATTATACATTTTGTTCAACAATAGTATTGATTTTCAAAGTACTTATTAACTTTTATAGCGTAAAAATTATATTTAGACAGTTAATATTATATAATATGAATGTTTTATTTTTTTTTTGTCAAACAAATAATATAGATATATTTATAATTTATACAATTGTATAAAAATAATAGAAATGTTGTATAGGTATAGTGTAATTAATAATTATAACGTGCTGGCCACGTTCTTATGATAGTAA